CCCCGAAATGGTGTGTTGAGCTGATGTCGGAATGTACGTGCACAACAATCACTTTGAATCGCGTGTTGAAGTCCCAGGAATGGTGCTCTGGCACGGTTAAGGATCGTAACAATAACGGGGATTCGCGGCGTGGATGTCCCAGGAAGGGCGTTCTGGTACAATTCTGGATGTTCGAACGGTTGTTGTCCAACGGGGCACTTCCCTCAGTGAAACTGAATCCGTGCAGGGGACAATGAGCGGGAATTTGGATGGAGGATTACTGCAATACTGTTTATGAGTCTTGTGTTTACACTGGCCCTCTCCCTCCTCGAGCATCCTCCATACTCCACCCTCCATCCTCCATCATCCCTCCTCCTCCTCCTCCTCCTCCTCCTCCTCCTCCTCCCTCCTCCTCCCTTCTCCTCCTCCTCCTCCTCCTCCTCCTCTTCCTCCTCCTCCTCCTCCGCCTCCTCCTCCTGATGTTCCTCCTCTTCCTCCTCCTCCTCATCCTCCTCCTCATTATCCTCCCCCTCCTCCCCCTCATCCCTCCTACCTCCTCCATGCATCAGACAATACTTCCTGTCTCGCCGGGCGTCCTCGCAGAGATCAAAGTCCGTGACTATTGTGTTGCGTTCCTGGAGGGACTCGCCGCCACACGGCAAAGACAAAGCGATGCCACAAGAGAACGAAAACGAAAACCAAGGGTGGACCCTCCCATGTCTGCAGAGGGCCTAAGGACCCCGGGGAAGCTCCCCAGGAGCTTCTCAAGCGCCATTCAGCAGGGCCCCGGATAACCACAGCAGAAAAGAGCACCTTGAAAAGCATGCTTGCTGCGTGAATCTTTCTCCCTGAGATGGCTTCGCGAATGCTCCACAGAGCCCCAGGGGACCCGCATGAAGCCCCAAAGACAGCCCCACAAGGGCCGCATGACGGCCCAAGGATTCGCAAAGACCGCACGAGACCGCCGCAAGAGGGCTCCAAGAAGGACCCGAGACCGGTCCAGGCAGCTGCAAGATGGCTCTGCCTAGCCTCCCAGCCTCTTCGGGAGAGTTCGGCACCACCACCCCCGCACGAGGTGGCACCATGACCAAAGACCCATAACGGACTGGCGAGAGGCCCGCCAGGAGTCCCCCGAAAGGCCCCGGAGAGGGTCCCAAGGGGCATGCAGGAAAGGCCAGAAAGGAGCCCCAAGGAAACCTCCAAGAACCGATGGTCCGCAGGTCGTGTGCGGGCGCCAGCGTGTGTCTGTCCACCGAAGCCCCTCAGTACGGCGAAGGCGGTGTAGTGAGGCCCGCCACGGACTGCGCGATGTCGGTGCAAACACACGGGAGGATCGTGAGAATAAGACCCCGATGGGCAACACAACAGCCACCGGATATCACGGCCCCAAACCACGCTGAAGCACCGCAGCGCCATTTCCCAGACGGCCCCGAGATTGTCTCCTCCTCCTCCTCCTCATCCTCCTCCTCCTCCTTTTCCTCCTCCTCCTCCTCCGCCTCCTCCTCATCTTTTCATCCTAATCCTCCTCCTCCTCCTCCTCCTCATCCTCCTCCTCCTCCTCTTCCGCCTCCTCGCTACTCCTCCTCCTCCTCCTCCTCCTCCTCCTCCTCCTCCTCCTCCTCCTCCTCTTCCTCCTCCTCCTCCTCCTCCTCCTACCTCCTCCTCCTCCTCCTCTTCCTCATCCTCCCTCCTCGCCTCCCCTCCTCCGCCTCCTCCTCTTTCGCTCTTCCTCCTCCTTCTCCTCTGTTCCTCATACTCCTCCTCCTCCTCCTCTCCTCCTCCCTCCTCCTCCTCCATCCTCCCATCCTCCCTCCTCCCTATTCCTTCCCTCCTCCCTCCTCCCTCCTCCCTCCTCCTCCTCCTCCTCCTCCTCCGCCTGCCTCCTCCTCCTCCTCCTCCTCCTCTCCTCCTCCTCCGCCGCCTCCCCCCGTCCTCCTCCTCATTCCCCTCCTCCTTCTCCTCCTCCTCCTCCGCCTCCTCCTCCTCCTCCTCCTCCTCCTCCTCCTCCTCCTCCTCCTCCTCCTCCTCTTCACTCTTCTTCCTCCTCCTTCCTCCTCAGTATCATCATCATCATCATCAGAGCAAGCATCATCAGCAGAATCGCATCAGCATCAGCATCAGCATCATCATCATCATCATCATCATCTCATCACCATCATCATCTCATCATCATCATCATCATCATCAGCAATCATCAGCATCATTATCATCATCATCATCCATCATCATTATCATCATCATCATATACATCATCAGCACATCATCATCATCCATCATCATCATCATCATCATCATCATCAGCAGCATCAGCATCATCATTCATCATCATCATCATCATCATCAGCATCATCATCATCATCATCATCATCATCATCATCATCATCATCATCATCATCATCATCATCAGCAGCAGCATCATCATCCTCATCATCTCATCATCATCATCATCATCATCATCATCATCATCATCGTCATCATCATTATCATCATCATCATTATCATCATCATCATCATCATCGTCATCATCATCGTCATCATCATCATCATCAGCAGCATCATCATCAAAGTCATCATCATCAGCATCAGCATCACCATCATCACCATCATCAGCATCATCATCATAAACATCATCGTCCCCAGCCTCATCCTTATCCTCATCCTCATCCTCATCACCATCATCATCATCATCATCATCATCGTCATCAGCATCAACATCATCAGCATCATCATCATCATCATCAAAGTCATCATCATCAACATCAGCATCACCATCATCACCATCATCAGCATCATCATCATAAACATCATCATCCCCAGCCTCATCCTTATCCTCATCCTCATCCTCATCACCATCATCATCATCATCATCATCATCATCATCGTCATCAGCATCAACATCATCAGCATCATCATCATAATAATCATTATCATCCTCATCCTCATCCTCATCCTCATCCTCATCATCTTCCTCCTCCTCATCATCATCCTCATCGCCTCCTCCTCCTTCTGCTCCTCCTCCTCCTCTTCATCCTCCTCGTTTTCCACATCATGATCATCATCATCACCATCATCATCAAAATCAGCATCATCAGCATCATGAGCATCATCATCATCATCATCATCATCAGTATCAGTAGCATCAGCATCATCATGGTCAGCATCATCATCATCTTATCGTCGTCATCATCAGCATCATCCTCGTCCAACTACTACTCCTCCTCCTCCTTCTCCGCATCATGATCATCATCATCATCATCCTCATTATCATCATCAGCATCATCATCATCAGCATCATCATCATCATCATCACCACCACCACCATCATCATCATCATCATCATCATCATCATCATCATCATCATCCTCTGCTTCCTCCTCCTCCTCCTGCTGCTGAGCCTGCGGCGTGCGTTTCGACGCTGCGCTGGAGCTGGGGGGGGGCGCGGCAGCTAGACGGCGAACTCGATCGAGGGCGAACAGCAGAAGTTCCTCTCGCTACGTTCGACAAGAGGAGGAGGAGGAGGAGGAGGAGGAGGAGGTGGAGGAGGAGGACGAGGAAGAGGGGAGGCCCCAGGAGCAACATCGTGGAAGCATGCAAATCCGAAGCCTCAATGTTTGATGTCGACCTGACCATTGTTGCGAAAGCCATCGCACAAATGCTGGGCTGACCCTTCGCAGCCACATCGCGAGCCATCAAGAAGCAATGCACGGTCGGCGAGACGAATGCTGACCGAAACGCGTCACAAAGCCCACTTGGGGTCCCCCCGGCTGCCGAACTACCAGGATGTTTTGGCTGGGGAGGGGGGCCGGTTTGAAACTCCCCCCCCTCGCCCCCTTCAAGCGTCCACAGAACGCGCCCGTTCCGAGTTAACCGCGAAGATGTTCCAAGATGGCCTCAAAGGTAGTCCCAGGACGCCCCCCAAGACGGCCACGATGGCCTCAAAGTTCAAAGATGGCCTCAAGACGGCCAAGACGGCCCAAGAGGCTTCCCATACAGCCCAAGGGGGCTCCAAGAGTCCCTCCAGGAGGACCCGAAGAGACCGAAAGTATTGTTTTCCCATTGGCTGTCGAACGATGCTTCGAGTTCTCGCCTTCCGAGATGTCGACAACACAAGACGGCCCTAGAGGCCTCCGATACGTAAGGAGCGTTGGGGAAACGAAACCTCCATAGCAAGACGGCGACGAGAAGAAAACGCATGGAAGCGAATAGAGAGCTCTCATGCAGAACAAGGCGAAGGAATAGCAAAGCGAGAGAGCGTTGGAGTAAAAGCCAGACGGCTGCATAACAAAACCCAGCTGGCACGGTGGCCAAAGCTGCCCTGACAGAAACAATATGAGGCAAGGAATGAAAATGCGCACATTGGCTGCTGGCCAGCGATCAACAACTCTACGAGCGACAAGAAACTCCATCCTTAACGGCGGGCGCCTCTGCTAGCGCATGGGTCGCCCAACGCATACCCTCGTTCAATGCATGCCCTCGTTCTGCCTTGGCGGCTGCACTCCTCAGCACAGCATCACGAGGACCGAACAGCTAATACGCGGCCACACCGAAACCGATGCTGGACAATGATTCGACCTACGAGAGCGATGAGCAGGCATTCCCACTCTCGCGCTCCTGCCGACTAACTGTTACTATTACTCGACCCTTCGCTCCAGCGGAGACTCGCGGAGACTCAGGATGCGCTCCTACCGGCAGTCACTCATCGGCGACGTGGGAGGCCAAGTCAACGATGGACGGGCCGAGTGATTCCAGGATTGCTATTCTATGTTCCTGAGTTCTGTTTTTCGGCGATACTCCAAAGAAACTGTCGCCGTGCATGTTCACTCCTGTGCTCTGCTTCAAGACTGGCCCTGGGCCGATCAGGCGTTGCGCTGACCCGTCGCTCCTGGTCCTACTGGGAAGCTGGAACATACACACACACTTTTTTAAGCCGGCGGCGCAGAGGGTCCTCAGACGTGGCAGCAGATGGAAGTGCTAATTGCGATCAGACATTGTCGAAGGCACGGTGTACAAAGCATTGCACACTGAAGAGTGCAACATTGGGTGATGTAAAGAAGGAGCTGCAAATTCACGCGAAACGTGCAGCGGCCAGAGAACCGAGGCTACTCAACTCGAAGAAACACACAAACGGCTGGATCCACACGTGGAACGCACGCGTGGAGGCCGCGCGCCGGGTACACATGCGGAAGCCCGGCGCACCCGGCCCAAGAAGGGCCCAGCGCTGGCACAGGACGTGCGGCCACGCGCGCAGCCGGCTCCCGCCCAGGCCGGCCGCGCCATCTGAGACGCTCAAGGAGAGATCTCCTCGCCGTCGATGCTCGAAGGAGCGGACATCGCCTCCTCGGCCGAGGGCGGCGGAAGTGGCAGAGAAGGCCGCCGCCGCCAGCGGAGGCCGGCAGAAGTCCGGCGGAGGGCGGCAGCGGAAGTAAAATTCGGCCTCCGGAGAGATGGCAAGGCTTTTTGGTTCAGGGATTTCTGACGCCGCCGTCTGCATTCAGCTTCCTGGCACCCAGACGTGCGACGATGTGACTTCTCACATGCCCGGCCCCAGAAATCCCGGCCCCCTTCCCCAAGGCAGGTGTTTCGCCCCGCGTCCGCCTGCGATGGCACGAGCCCGACAACGGGCCCCAGAGACCGACGCCGACGGTCGGAGATCTGGGCTCCAGCTGGAGCAGGGCGGCTCGAGACACTGGCAGTCACAGTCGGTCCCCGGACCGCTCCCGGGGTCCAAACGCACCCAGTCTTTCGCGCTGCGTCTGGCCGCGGCGACGAGGAGGCCCCCCAAAGGCCAACTGATTAGCAGTGTCTCAAACGGCTCTCCTGCCCACTCCCCCCGCGCCAGCGCCCTGCTGGCGCTGTCGCCGAGCGTCCGCTGCCGGCAGGGGGGCACCCCGCAGCGGAGCGCGCCGGCGCGCGGCCCTCAGCCGACGGCGCCCGACTCGACCAGAGCGTGGCACAGCCGCAGCGCCGTCGCCCGCACCCCCGGCTCGTGCAGCATGCCGAAGTGGCCCCCGGGCACGCGGGCCGATGGCACCTACAGTGGAGGCCAGTCCACAAGAAGCCTTCCACGAGAAACCCAACCCTGAGACCCCAAGACGTCCATGGACTTTTGGTGTGGGAGCGTCCCACTTCCCATAGAGAGAACCCATCGAAACCCAAGAAACCCTGGGCACCCTGGAGGCAAGCAGGGTGTGTCTCGGCATGGGTCTCCACTGCATAGGCTTAGATCGGGCATGTCCCCCTACAGGCGGATTTTGGACGACGTATGGTACAGATAAATGTTCAAAAATTTATCGACAAATCGTTCCCAGACTATTTTTTGACGATGTATGAAGAGTTCCTGTAGAGGGACACGCCCGACTTAAGTATAAGCGGGCTTCTCCCGACCTCTCGCTGCGGAAAAACAAAAACACGACTGGAGGCTTTGAACCGTGTGCAGCCTCCATGGGCCCCCGCTGGGTGTGCCGAAATTCGCGGGGGGACGCATGCGGACCCTGCCACTGGGGCCTTCTGTGGAGCTCCCAGTGGGGCCACGAATCATGTGATGGGTGTGCCGAAATGAACGGGGGGACGCATGCGGACCCTGCCACTGGGGCCTTCAATGAGGCTCCTTGTGGGGCCATGAACCGTGTGAGGGGTGTACCGAAAGGGGCGGTGGGACGCATGCGGACCCTGCCACTGGGGCATGCGGTGGAGCTCCCTATGGGGCCACGAACCGTGTGAGAGGTCTCCCAAAATGTGCGGGGGGACGCATGAGGACCCTGACACTGGGGCCTTCGGTGGAGCTCCCTATGGGGCCACGAATCGCGTCAGTGGTGCGCCAAAAATGAACAGGGGGACGCATTCGGACCCTGCCGATGGGACCTTCGGTGGAGCTCCCTATGAGGCCACGAACCGCGTGCGGGATGTGCCGAAATGGGTGTGGCGGACGCATGTGGCCACACCCATTGGGGCCTAAGGTAGAGATCCCTATGGGGCCAAGGAACCTGCGAGGGGTATCCCAAGATTGATATGCGGAGGGCAGACTCACGATGCTGATGACGATGTGGATGATGGCGATGACGATGATGATGACGATGCCAGTGGTGATGACGGCACGCGTGAGAGCAGGGGCGGGAATGGGAGGAGGGAGGAGGGGGAGGAGGAGTGAGCGAGGAGTGAGTGGAGGCGGGGCGCTGTCTCCTCATTAGCCTGGCGAAGGACCCAACCATATGAAGTTGTGAGCACCGCAATTGTGAGTATTATTCGGTGGAGCCCCCGATGGGGCCACGAAACGCTGCACTGGGTGGGCGAAACGCAGGGAGCAAGGGCTGTGCTGGGTGGTGGCGGACGCATGCGGGCGGTGCCACTGGGACCTCCGGTGGAGCCCCCTATGGGCTGGGTGCGTGAAACGCAGGGAGCAAAGGGCTGTGCTGGATGGTGGCGGACTCATGCGGGCGGTGCCATTGGTACCTTCGGTGGAGCCCACGAATTGCTGTACTGGGTGGGCGAAACGCAGGGAGCAAGGGCTGTGCTGGGTGGTGGCGGACGCATGCGGGCGGTGCCATTGGGACCTTCGGTGAAGCTCCCATATGGGGCCACGAATTGCTGTATTGGGCGGGTGAAACGCAGGGAGCAAGGGCTGTGCTGGGTGGTGGCGGACGCATGCGGGCGGTGCCACTGGGACCTTCGGTGGAACTCCCTATGGGGCCACGAAACGTTGTACTGGGTGGGTGAAACGCAAGGAGCAAAGGTTGTGATGGGTGGTGGCGGACGCATGCGGGCGGTGCCACTGAGACCTTCGGTGGAGCTCCCATATGGGGCCACGAATTGCTGTATTGGGTGGGTAAAAACGCAGGGAGCAAGGGCTGTGCTGGGTGGTGGCGGACGCATGCGGGCGGTGCCACTGGGACCTCCGGTGGAGCTCTGTATGGGGCCACGAAACGCTGTACCGGGCGGGTGAAACGCAAGGAACACGGGCTGTGCTGGGTAGTGGCGGAGGCACGCGGGCGGTGCCACTGGGACCTTCGGTGGAGCCTCCTATAGGGCCACGAAACGCTGTACTGGGTGGGTGAAACACAAGGAGGAGGGAGGAGGGGGAGGAGGGGGAGGAGGGAGGGGGAGGACGAGGAGAGGATGAGGAGGGACGCGGGGACCGTCTCTTCAAAACGAGGACCCAACACAACAGGATGGTTCGGAAAAACGAGGACCCAACACTACAGGACGACTGGGAAAAATCGCGTCGGAAGATGTCTGGGTGAACCAGAACCGCGACGGGAGGCTGCTTGGCCCGTCCTGGCCCCCCGGGGGCCCTCGCCAGGCCCCGGGACCAGCAAAATCATCCAGGCGAAAGACCCAACCATATGCAGTTGTGACTACCGCAATTGTGAATATCTTCTTCGGTGGTGATCCCTATGGGGCCACGAACCGTGCGAAGGGTGTGCCGTGGCGTGGTACACAGAACGAACGGATACGATAGGCCTGAGCACGGGGGACTGAGCGCGGGTGAGACTGAGCGCGAGGGCGTCTGATTGTGATTGAGTCTGCGTGCGAGTAAGTCTACGCGCGTGAGTGCGAGCATGGATACGCCTAGTGTGAATGTACATGACTGTGAATACTGGGCATGGCGGGGGCCTAACGGGCCACAAGGCGTGTGAGGGGCGTACTGGGTGTGGCAGACGCATGCGGGCATCCCCCACTGGGGCCGCAGGTGGAACTCCGTATGGGGCCACGAAACGCTGTACCGGGTATGGCGGACGCATGCGGACAACCCCACTGGGGCCTTCGGTGGAGCTGCCTATAAGGCCACGGAACGCTGTGCTGGGCGTGGCGGGCGCATCTGGCCACCCCCACTGGGGCCTTGGGTGGAGCTCCCTATGGGGCCACGGAGCGCTGTATTGGGTGTGGCGGATGCATGTGACAACCCCCACTGGGGCCTTGGGTGGAGCTCCCTATAAGGCCACGAAACGCTATACTGGGTGTGGCGGACGCATGTGGCCACCCACACTGGGGCCTTGGGCCACGAAGCGCTATACTGGGCGTGGCGGACGCATGTGGCCACCCCCACTGGGGCCTTGGGTGGGGTTCCCTATGGGGCCACGAAGCGCTGTACTGGGTGTGGCGGACGCATGTGGCCACCCCCACTGGGGCCTCAAGTGAAGCTCCCTATGGGGCCACGAAGCACTGTTCTGGGTGTGGCGGGCGCATCTGGCCACCCCCACTGGGGACTTGTATGGGACCACGAAACGCTGTACTGGGTGTGGCGGACGCATGTGGCCACCCCCACTGGGGCCTTGGGTGGAGCTCCCTATAAGGCCACGAGACGCTGTACTGGGTGTGGCGGACGCATGTGGCCACCCACACTGGGGCCTTGGGTGGGGCCCCCTATGGGGCCACGAAGCGCTGCACTGGGTGTGGCGGACGCATGTGGCCACCCACACTGGGGCCTTGGGTGGAGCTCCCTATGGGGCCACGAAGCGCTGTACTGGGTGTGGCGGGCGCATCTGGCCACCTCCGTTGGGGCCTTGGGTGGAGCTCCCGATGGAGCCACGAAACGCTGTACTGGGTGTGGCGGACGCATGTGGCCACCCCCACTGGGACCCTTAGGAGGAGTTCCCTATGGGTGTGGCGGAGGCACGTCACGTGGCCACACCTACTGGGGCCTCCGATGGAGCTCCCTATGGGGACACGAAACGCTGTGCTGGGTGTGGCGACGCATGTGGCCACCCCCACTGGGGCCTTCGGTGGAGCTCCCTATGGGGCCACGAAACGCTTTACTGGGTGTGGCGGACGCATGTGGCCACCCCCACTGGGCCCTTAGGTGGAGCTACCTATGGGGCCACGAAACGCTTTACTGGGTGTGGCGGACGCATGTGGCCACCCCCACTGGGGCCTTCGGTGGAGCTCCAAACGTGTGAGGGGTGTGCCGACATGGGTGTGGGGGACGCATGCGGGCGGTGGCCCTGGGGCCTTCGGTGGAGCTCCCGATGGGGCCACGAAACGTGGGAGCGGTGTACCGAAATGGGTGTGGCGACGGCGATGATGATGACGATGGTGGCGATGAGGACGAAGATGATGACAGCGAGGATGATGATTACGATGGTGACGGCGATGATGACGATAACGATGATGAGGATGATGATGACGATGACGATGACGATGACGATGACGACGATGACGATGACGACGACGATGACGATGATGATGATCCGGACGCCTCCTGATCGCGCCTCCTGATGATGATGATGATGATGATGATGATGATGGTGGTGGTGGTGATGATGATGCTGCTGGTGCTGGTGCTGCTGCTGCTGCTGCTGATGATGATGATGATGATAATGATAATGATAATGATGATGATGATGATGATGATGATGATGATGATGATGATGATGATGATGATGATGATGATGATGATGATGATGAGGATGTTGATGAGAGGAGGAGGGGGTGAGCAGCGGGAGGAGGAAGGAGACGCGGGGCGATGTCTCTTCAAAACGAGGACCCAACACCACAGGATGGTTGGGACAAAGACCTGGGCATTATGCTGCTCCCATCGTGCTTAATGACCACATCCCAAAAATTCGCCGGCCCAGCGGGCCAGGGCGTGCTAAGATCTCCGGTACCTGGTTAACAGTATTTCTAGTTCGCGCGCGCGGGGCGGCCCCTGGGGGTCCCCGGACGAAAAGTACCCCGGCAAAGTCCCGGCAAGGTCCCGGCAAGGTCCCGGCAAGGTCGGGCCAGAGATGCCGGAGCCCTGTTACAGGGCCCCAGGACGGGCCAAGAGGTCCCCAAGAAGCCTCCAAGACAGTCCAAGAGGGCCCCGAGACGGCCAAAGATCGCCCGAAGACGCCCAACAGGGCCCCAAGACAGCCCAAGAGGCCTCCAAGACGCCCCAAGGGCCTTCCAAGAGGCCTCCGAAGAGGGCCCCAAGAGGCCAAAATCGTTGATTTTCATTGTTTTTTTCGATGTTTTTTGCGTTCTGGCTTTTTCGGCTTCCGGACGCTCCAAGACGGCCCAAGAGGCCCCCAAGACCGCTCCAAGACGGCCCACGAG